TTGTTAAGAGATTATTCAAATTGCAGGTTGTTGTGAGGGATTTTTGGGCAACTGATTTTTTTTTTTTGTTATATGATTATTTGCCAAGAGATTATCCAAATTGCAGGGATTTTTGGGCAATTGATTAAGTGAATCGAGCTGGGTTCGATGGAACCTATTTGTTGGGTTCTATCGAACTTCAATCTTGAAAATGGAAAGAACATCGTTTATGGAAAGAATATAAACAATAACCGATGGGCAAAGAAGCAATTCTTAGCGGTGATGTGGGACCCATTTTGATGGATTTAGCGTGTTTTCGTCAGGGTAGCATGTGACATGGCAAAAGTTTTATGTATATCATCACTTTTTTAAGTTTTGCTCTCCATATCATCAAAAAAATATAAAAAATGTCACATAAGCAGGGTTAACGGTCCAAATTAACAGAAAGACTAACGGAGTGCATTTTGCATAGTTGAGAGATCAAAAAAGTGCAAAAAATTGTTGAGGGATAAAAAATATGCATTTTATAAAGTTGAGGGACCAAATTAAGCATTTAACCTTTTAAGAAAAGTAGTGCCATTGGTGTGAATAGTGGGGGAGTCAGAAATTTTTTAGGGGGACTCTTTGACTAAGAAATGATGTCTTTGTCTGCAAATTAAAAATCGATGAAAGAGAAAATTTTTTAAAAATTATTAAAAATAATATTTTTTATGGAATAAATAATATTTATTAGTCTTTAATAATAAAATTAATAATGGTTGATGAAGTAATCTAAATTCCATTGACTGAAGGATAAAATGAACATACATAATGAGTAAATGAACTCCACTAAAAAAAGAAAGGTAAGAGGTTAAGAAAATGATCAATATATTTTTTAATTTAACATACCTCACAATACCCATTAATTTAGCCATTAAAATTTATTTACTTTTAGTTTATATCTAAAAATAATAATTATTTTAAAATATATTATAAAGTGTATTAAATCAGATAATATATCAATATTATCCAAAAAGTTATTAGTGAATACTCTCTTCTTCTTTCTTAAAGCCTGTTTGGTACAGCAGTTAAAATTCAGCGGATAACGAATAGCGGGTAGTGGGTAGCGGGAAGTGGATAGCAAATAGCGGTAGCAGATAGCAAATGGCGGTTAGCGAATAGTGGATGACGGATAGCGGAAAGTGGGTAGCGGATGGTAAATAGCGGATTCGATAAATATAACTGTTTGGTTATACAATAGTTAGCGGTTGTTATTTAACATTAAATGATTAATAAGGACATGTTTAAAAACAAATAAGTATATTTTTTAAAATGTTTTTATTTTTTATTATTAAAATTATTAATT